TGCTGCTGATACTCTAATAACAATCATGGCTAAGACTGGTGAGTGGTTTCCATGTGTGTAAACACTTAGGACGAATTCCATTTGGGCTTATCTGCTTATTTTGCAGATGAGGAACCTGAGGCTGGTAGGGGTTGGATAATTTGCCCAAAGTCTCACTCTATTCAAGAGTGGGGAGAACTAATAGGCCTTAGGCTTTGTAGACAGACAGATAGCCCTGCCTTCGGGGGCTTTGTGCCAAGCCCGTGCCCAACAGCCACTCAGTGTTGACCACTGTCACCTCTCAGTTGGCCTCGCAACTGGCATTCCTGCCTCCAACCTGGCCCCGTTAATCCATCTGCCATGCTGCAGTCAGAGATATCTTTCTAGAATACCAAGAATATCTTGGTCTTCTCTGCTGAAGCCTTTCAATGGTTTCTGTTGAGAAAATCTAACCTTTTTCAATACATAATTAAGACCTTCACAAATTGGCCCGTCAACTTGACAGCATCGCCTGGGGCAGTAGTTCTTCACAGGACCATTTTGGAAATGTGGTTGTCCATCCATCACAATTATAAGAACATGCTACTGGCATTTGATGGGCAGTGGTCAGAGATACCGGAGTGCTGCAATACAAGGGACAGCCAACCAAGAATCATCCTTGGGTTTGAGATGACTTTTTTTTACTTTTTTTTTTTTTTTTTTTTTGAGACAGAGTTTCACTCTTGTTACCCAGGCTGGAGTGCAATGGCGTGATTGCGGCTCACCGCAACCTCCGCCTCCTGGGTTCAGGCAATTCTCCTGCCTCAGCCTCCTGAGTAGTTGGGATTACAGGCACGTGCCACCATACCCAGCTAATTTTTTGTATTTTTAGTAGAGATGGGGTTTCACCATGTTGACCAGGATGGTCTCGATCTCTTGACCTCGTGATCCACCCACCTTGGCCTCCCAAAGTGCTGGGATTACAGGCTTGAGCCACCACGTCCGGCATTTTTTTTTTTTTTTTTTTACTTTTTTTCCAGAGTCTTGCTCTGTCACCCAGGCTAGAGTGCAGTGGCACAATCATGGCTCACTGCAACCTCTGTCTCCTGGGTTTAAGAAATTCTCCTGTCTCAGCCTTCTGAGTAGCTGGAATTATAGGTGCCCACCACCATGTCCAGCTAATTTTTGTTTTTCATATATATATATATATATATATATATATATATATATAGAGAGAGAGAGAGAGAGAGAGAGAGAGAGAGAGACAGACAGACAGACAGACAGACAGAGACAGAGACAGAGAGACAAGAATTTTGCTCTTGTCACCCAGGCTGGAGTACAGTGGTGCGATCTTGGCTCACTGCAATCTCCACCTCCTGGGTTCAAGCGATTCTCCTGCCTTAGCCTCTTGAGTAGATGGGATTACAGGCATCTGCCACCATGCCTGGCTAATTTTTGTATTTTTATTACAGACGGGGTTTCACCACGTTGGCCAGACTACTCTCGAACTCCTGGACTCAGGTGATCTACCCACCTCAGTCTCCCAAAGTGCTGGGATTACAGGCATGAGCTACTGCGCCTGGCCCCATGACTCTTTTTTTTTTTTTTTTTTTTTTTTTGAGACAGTCTCACTCTGTCGTCCAGGCTGGAGTGCAGTGGCGCAATCTCGGCTCACTGCAACCTCCACCTCTCAGGTTCAAACGATTCTTCTGCTGGGTGTGGTGGCTCAAGCCTGTAATCCCAGCACTTTGGGAGGCCGAGGCGGGTGGACCACGAGGTCAAGAGATCGAGACCATCCTGGTCAACATGGTGAAACCCCATCTCTATTAAAAAATACAAAAAATTAGCTGGGCATGGTGGCACGTGCCTGTAATCCCAGCTACTCAGGAGGCTGAGGCAGAATTGCCTGAGCCCAGGAGGCGGAGGTTGCGGTGAGCTGAGATCGCCCCATTGCACTCCAGCCTGGGTAACAACAGCGAAACTCTGTCTCAAAAAAAGAAAAAAAAAAACAAAAAAACCATTCTCCTGCCTCAGCCTCCCCAGTAGCTGGGATTACAGGTGGCCGCCACCATGCCTGGCTAATTTTTTGTATTTTAGTAGAGATGCGGTTTCACCGTATTGGCCAGGCTGGTCTTGAACTCCTAACCTCAGTTGATCCACCCACCTCGGCCTCCCAAAGTGCTGGGATTACAGATGTGAACCACTGTGCCTGGCCTATTTGTCATTTTTATAATCAAGACATCATATTGATTTGTTTTTTGAAATTATGTGTCCAAGCATATTATATTATCTGTTAATTTCACAGACAGTAGTGTTGCAAAATATTGGTTATAAAAAAGGAACACTGGGGCCGAGACAGGAGGATAACGAGGTCAAGAGATCGAGACCATCTTGGCCAACATGGTGAAACCTTGTCTCTACTAAAAATACAAAAATTAGCTGGGCGTGATGGCGTCAGCCTGCAGTCCCAGCTACTCGGGAGGCAGAGGCAGGAGAATGACTTGAACCCTAGGGGCGGAGGTTGCAGTCAGCTGAGATTGTGTCACTGCAGTCCAGCCTGGCAACAGAGGGAGACCCCATCTAAAAAAAAAAAAAAAAAAAAAGAGGCCGGGCGCAGTGGCTCAAGCCTGTAATCCCAGCACTTTGGGAGGCCGAGGCGGGTGGATCACGAGGTCAAGAGATCGAGACCATCCTGGTCAACATGGTGAAACCCCGTCTCTACTAAAAAAATACAAAAAAATTAGCTGGGCATGGTGGTGCGTGACTGTAATCCCAGCTACTCAGGAGGCTGAGGCAGGAGAATTGCCTGAACCCAGGAGGCAGAGGTTGCAGTGAGCCGCGATCGCGCCATTGCACTCCAGCCTGGGTAACAAGAGCAAAACTCCGTCACAAAAAAAAAAAAAAAAAAAAGAAAGAAAAAGAAAAAGAAAAAGAAAAATGAGGACGAGGCAGAGGATAGGAACTGCTGTATGGGGTACATTGCCGTGATAGAAATCAGGTCCTCATAATGTAGAGTGAGTGAGGAGGGGACAGGCAGGAGATGAGGTTGAAGAGCTGGGAGGCTCTGGTAAGGAGTTTAGACCCCTATCTCCCTGGCTCCATCGCTCCACCTATGGGCATGCAGGATGTAGACAGCTGAAAATCTTTACCTTGTGTCCCTGATCCCATGCCTGCAATGTGTTCTCTGCCTTCTCTAATTAGTAATAAAATTCCATTCATCCTTCAAGGTCCAGCTCCAAACCATTTAGGAAACCTCCTTCCATTCTTTGGCAGGAATTAATCGCTCCCTTGTCTGATATCCGACAGCACTAGTCACATGCTGACTTGTATCTCAACTAGCTGTTTATGCACCAGTCTACCCACCAATGTAGTGAGTTCCCTAAGGGCCGAAGCTCTGTCTTATTCACCTCTGTAGTCATCTCTTGGTGTTCAGCAGATACTTGACGTGACATTCACTTGACTAGTGGGTGGTGCCTAGTATTACTCATGGCAGAACAGAGGGAAAACAAAAATAATAACTTAAGGTCTATTACATGTTTTCCTATTCATTACCTGATTTTAGCCTTCCAGCAACTCTATGAGACGACGGGACAGGCACTATTAGACCCATTTTACAGATAGGGTAGCTGAGGCCCAAGGGCACACAGCTTGTAAGTAATGGTGACTAAGTCCAATCTTGTCCCCTTACTTCGGATTCTGTGCTAGTAACAGAATTAAACCAAAGAGTATTTTGAAGCTATAATGGAATGCGCTTTTCTGGGTGGACTAGGGAGCGATCCTTAGTCAGCTGTTAGGGGTTAACAGCAGCTCCATCAAGGAGGGCATAGGATTTCTCTCTCTGGCCCAAACAGCTGGAGGAGTCCATAGCACCATCCTACAGCCCTGGAAGCTGCAGGAAACCCCAGGCTGAGAAAGAAGAGACCAGGGTCAGGTGGCTAGGATGACATAAAGGATGACTTGTGAGCAGAGGCCTGCCTCTGTTGCTATGCCAACCGGAGCTTGACTACTTGGACTTTGCAAGGTTGGCTGAGGTGAGTTCTTGGTTAACTCGAGATTAGGGAAGGATATTTAGCAGGGAGGGTGTGTGTGTGCGGCGGATTAAAGACGAAAGGAGGCCGGGCGCGGTGGCTCAAGCCTGTAATCCCAGCACTTTGGGAGGCCGAGGCGGGTGGATCACAAGGTCGAGAGATCGAGACCATCCTGGTCAACATGGTGAAACCTCGTCTCTACTAAAAGTGCAAAAAATTAGCTGGGCATGGTGGCACGTGCCTGTAATCACAGCTACTCAGGAGGCTGAGGCAGGAGAATTGCCTGAACCCAGGAGGCGGAGGTTGCGGTGAGCCGAGATTGTGCCATTGCACTCCAGCCTGGGTAACAAGAGCGAAACTCCGTCTCAAAAAAAAAAAAAAAAGCCGGGCGCGGTGGCTCAAGCCTGTAATCCCAGCACTTTGAGAGGCCGAGGCGGGTGGATCACGAGGTCAAGAGATCAAGACCATCCTGGTCAACATGGTGAAACCCCGTCTCTACTAAAAATACAAAAAAATTAGCTGGGCATGGTGGCAGGTGCCTGTAATCCTAGCTACTCAGGAGGCTGAGGCAGGAGAATTGCTTGAACCCAGGAGGCGGAGGTTGCGGTGAGCTGAGATCGCGCCATTGCACTCCAGCCTGGGTAACAAGAACGAAACTCCGTCTCAAAAAAAAAAAAAAAAAAAAAAAAAAAAAATGACTGTTTAGCTCAGTGGTTCTCCACTTTGACAACACGTTAGAATCACCTTCACAATTTACTCATGCCTAGACTACACCCCAGAATTAAATTAGAATTTCCGGGAGTGGGAACCAGGCATTATAGTTATTTAAATCTTGCCAGGTGACTCCAACTGCGGCTAACGTTGCAAACTCTGCTTTTAGCTGGTAAGCGGAATTCTTGCGACCTTCCCAAGATGGCAGCCACTCACCCGCTTCCGTCTGTACGTGCGCCGGCAGGGGGCGGGCTTCCCAGGAGCGCATGCGTCTCTCCTCTCCTCACTCCCTGTTCCCTCCTCCTTTTTCCCCCTCCTCCATTTTGTTCGCGGACGCTGGGGACGGTGGGAGCAGATCCATTTCCGGGTTGGCAAAAGGGGCGGCGGCGGCGGCGGCGGCGGCGAGAGAGAGAGAGAGCTTGCCGGGGGGCGAGCTGTACAGGACGAAGTCGGAGCGTAGGCGGTGGAGGATTCGCTCCCAGAGCACCTGCGGCCAGGTTGGAAAGAGGCCAGGGCGGCTGGGTCGGTCGCTGAAATGACCTGCGGACCTGCCTGGGAGGGAAAGCCGGGGAAGGGGGGCTCGGGGCGGGGCTTGGGGAGAGGGGTGCATTGGAGGAGGGGCTGGAGGGGGAGAAGGGTCTTGGGGGCGGGGCCTGAGGGGCGGGGGCCTAGGGGCTGGATCGGAAGAACCTGGAGGGGAGAGGGCGTGGGGAATCTGGGGAGGAATGGTCGGGTACTGGTCTGGGGCGAGCGCGTACTGGGAAAATGGGGAGGAAGGATTTTGAGAGACAGGTAATAAGGGCTCCTGAAGGATTGGGTGAGGTGAGGAGACAACTCAGGGTAAGGAACGAGATAATCGTGTGCAAAAAGGGAGACGAGAACGGAGGACCTGTTGGAAACAGCTAATTAGCAGGATGCTGTGGGTGAGTAGCCCAATGTGACATTTTGGGCATTGAGTTAGGTGACAGGTAGAGGTTTGGAAGATGGCTAGGGAAACTGCTTACACTAGAGGGAATCTTGAAAGCGTTGGGAATCTTGAGAGCGTTGGTTAAAAAGGAATCAGAATAGAGTTAAAGGTTGGATTGAGAATGTTGAGATGCACATTGGAACGTCTAGAGTTGAGGGTTCATGTTGAAGTGGTGTGAAATGAGGGAAGATGGAATTTTTTTCTTTTTTTTGAGATGGAGTCTCTCTCTTGTTGCCCCGTTTGATCTCGAACTCCTGGGTTCAAGCGATCTTCCTACCTCGGCCCCCCAGAGTGTTGGGATTACAGGTGTGAGCCACTGCCCCAGGCCACGATGGAAATCTTAAAGTGTTCAGCATGGCAGTGTGTATGGTCGAGTTTTTGATCAGGAAGGAAAGTTCCTTTTTGTTTTTTTTTTTTTTTGAGACGTAATCTCGCTATGTCATCCAGGATGAGTACAGTGGTACAATCTCGACTCACCACAACCTCCGCCTCATAGGTTCAGGCGATTCTCCTGCCTCAGTCTCCAGAGTAGCTGGGATTACAGGCGTGTACCACCATGCCCAGCTAATTTTGTATTTTTAGTAGAGATGGGGTTTCACCATGTTGGTCAGGCTGGTCTCGAACTCCTGACCTCAGGTGATCCGCCCCCCTCGGCCTCCCAGGTGTTGGGATTACAGGCATGAGCTGCCTCTCCCAGCTGGAAGGTTCTTAGATAACATTGGGGCAAGGAACTGGTATGTGATGGAATTATGATTATTATAATTTTTTTTTTTTTTTTTTGAGACGGAGTTTCGCTCTTGTTGCCCAGGCTGGAGTGCAATGGCGCGATCTCGGCTCACCGCAACCTCCACCTCCTGGGTTTAGGCAATTCTCCTGCCTCAGCCTCCTGAGTAGCTGGGATTACAGGCACACGCCACCATGCCCAGCTAATTTTTTGTATTTTTAGTAGAGACGGGGTTTCACCATGTTGACCAGGCTGGTCTCGATCTCTTGACCTCGTGATCCACCCGCCTCGGCCTCCCAAAGTGCTGGGATTACAGGCTTGAGCCACCGCGCCCGGCTTATTATAATTTTTTTTTTTTTTTTTTTTTTTTTTTCTGAGACGGAGTTTCGCTCTTGTTACCCAGGCTGGAGTGCAATGGCGCGATCTTGGCTCACCGCAACCTCCGCCTCCTGGGTTCAGGCAATTCTCCTGCCTCAGCCTCCTGAGTAGCTCGGATTACAGGCATGTGCCACCATGCCCAGCTAATTTTTTGTATTTTTAGTAGAGACGGGGTTTCACCATATTGACCAGGATGGTCTCGATCTCTTGACCTCGTGATCCACCCGCCTCGGCCTCCCAAAGTGCTGGGATTACAGGCTTGAGCCACCGCGCCCGGCCATAATTTTTTAAGAGATGTGGTCTCACCCTGTCACCCAAACTGGAGTGCAGTGACATGGTCATGGCTCCTTGAAGCCTCGACCTTCCGGGCTCAAGTGATCCTCCCGTCTCAGCTTTGCCAGTAGCTGGGACCACAAGTGGGCCCACTACTCCCGCCTAACATATACATATATAATTATTTTTTTATTTTTTTATTTTTATTTTTTTGTAGAGAAGGAGTCTTGCTGTGTTCCCCAGGTTAGTGTGTAACTCCTGGTCTAAAGTAATCCTCCCACCTCAGCCTCCCAAAGTGCTGGGATTACAGGTATGAGCCACTGTGCCTGGCCCAGAATTTGTATTTTTTAAAGGACTTCAATAATCTTTTACTGCTTTGGGCTCTCCCAGGGTCTCCATTCCTTTTTCATGCTGTTATTTTTGCCTTACAGTTTTGGTTTTTGACTGTCTTACTGAATGTTTTTGGCTATTCTGTTCTCCTTTTACAAATCAGAAGAGAACTTCAGGGAATAAGGAAGGTTTTGGCTTACCTCTGGATTTACCTTCAAGGCAAATCATTAAACTTTCATTTTTTTCCCTTTTGAAATATAGGTCTCATCTGTCCCTGCCTCTAAAAGCTTGTGTTAACACATGGGGTCTTTAAGTGGTTGCATAGAAGTGATCTCTGAAAAACGAGATTGCGATATTAATATTTAGAAGATAGACAATGGCGTACCTGCCTGTAATCCCAGCTTCTTGGGAGGCTAACGCAGGAGTATGACTTGAGCTTAAGAGTTCGCCCATTCTGGGCAACATAGCAAGACCCTGTCTTTTAAAGAAAAAGAGGGCTGGAGACAGTAGCTCACTCCG